GTTTTTATGGAATAAACTTCCTACAGAACCAAAGTGTCCATCGGAAAGAAGATTCAAACTAGGTTTGAAAAGATGTATGTTTGGCAACAGAACAGAAATCTGAGCTTATTTTTTTCATCTTGCAATGGACAGAAGGTCCACTCTGCCGTCCACCTGCTGTGTGCAGTATTATTGCTGTTTATTCTGTATGTGATCACAGACCACAATAGAAGCGAGTAGGACGCCCTGAGAGGCCATGAGGTGGTTATAATGTTTTGCACTGTTAACTTAAGATAATGACTTAAATGTCTTGTGATCTCAAGATAACAAAAGAGATCACAACTTATTTGTCCTGTGATCTCAAGATAACCTGTGTATCCTGAGAAAACAACTTTTGATATCTTGAGATCGCAAGAAAATAAGTTGTGATCTCAAGAAAACAACTTTTGATATATTCGAAATCACAAGAAAAATAAGTTGTGATCTTGAGAAAACATCTTTTGTCATCTTGACATCCCAAGTCATGATCTCAAGATACCAGTGCAAAAATGCTGACTACCTCATGGCCTCTCTGGACGTCTGTAAATCAGCTTTAAAGACTTTATCGTGCGTTAAACGTCTGACGTGTTGATGTGTGTAATGTATATGTATTTATTCATCAAATAATATCAGTCAGTCTTGTTTGTTGGTGCAGCTTCCTGGTTTGTTTATTTTGCCTTGGTTACATTAACAGTTTGGTTTGTCATAACATTAGATATCTCTAATCAAACTGCAGGACTGTTTCTGATTATGTTTACACTGAGCTCCTGCAGCCTCAGCATCTGCATCTGCATCTGCATCAGGACCCTCAGCTTCCTGACTGTAACCACATTCTTGGCTGATGATGCACTGATTTCATAAAACAGAAACATGTGTCTCACTAAGCAGTAATGCAGGTCATCAACAGAGTTTTTATCATAGATTTATTTATTTTATGCTATTTCACAGTAGTAATAGGGGTCTATAATACTGCTTTACATCATAATGTTTTGGATTTGAGTAAATAACCAAAAATGTCTTGCTTTGTTATTATATGTGTTGGTCTGCTCATGTTTTTGTGGATTTAAAATCGAGGCTACATTTTAAACCTTTGGAAATCTTTTAATACTATGAAACCACTGGGCCTCATTCACTAACTGTTCTTAAGAAGAAATTTCCGCAGTTTTCCCAAAGATTCCGACATTCCCCAGTGTTCTCTTGTGTGGGGTTTGTTCTTAGGTAAGAACAGAATCTACATACACTCAAGAGCACAAAGGTGAGAACGGTTCTGCGCTTTAAGAACACGTCATGAATCTGACGGAGACGTTTTCTCAGGGTCTTTCTCAAGAATGAATTTAGAAAGATATCGGTGAATGTTGTTGCAGGTACATGTGTTAAAAGATGCTAATATTCTCGGTTTCAAACAAATTAAGAAATTTGTGATGAATGAAGCTACAGATGATTCCATTACAATTAATAAATCTGTATAACACTGAGAATAAACTTACAATAACATTCATATCTAGAGTGCCTCATATTTGAAAAGCCATGACCAAACCGCACTAATCAAACAGCTATTCATAGATATTATGTCAAAAATAAATATCTACTACTTTAAATTGTGCCTTCTGTGCAGTATTGTGTGTCGTCTGATAAGCAGACAAGGAAGTAAGTGCTTTACAGCTTTAAAAGCTTGTTAAATGAGGTCATACAGTTTTGAACCAAATGCCTCATTTAACCTGATGCTGCTGAAGTTTCTGAGAGACTGTTGATGAAGTGCATTCCAGAAATTTCTGGAAATCTGTGTACTGCTGGTGCTATGAAACTGCAGGTGGCTGAGCTGAAGCTTACAATACAAATGGAGCAGTCACGCAACGCCAGGGCACCGGCCGAAACCACACACTGCTGTTGAGCCAGCTCACGCTCCAGTCTTCAATACTGATCCTCTACAGTGAGAGCACTTAAAGCCAGTTCTACTCAGTCTCACTCTGCCATCTGGACAACGTCCAACAAGCAGACTCTCCGTTCCTCCTCACGAGTCACAGATGGGGACAAAACATCTCACTTGGCCTTTAAAAGAGTTAAAAGTGAGAAGAGCTGATTGATCAGAGCACCAAACCAAAGTCCTTCTCACTGTCAGAACACACTACGTTACTGACATACACCACCATTAACATTTAGGCTTTGCCTCCTTCACACTCACATTTGCCATGAAGGTCCTTTTAAATAGGATGTGAAGGCAGGCCCAGTGACAGGGGGTCATTGAGGGGGGCAATGCCCCACCAATCAATCACTTTATAAATGCTTCTATCACACCGTATAAAAGACTCCACTGATGAACACTGGAAGGTTTGAAGGCGTTACTCTGTACTGGCTGTATTTGTGTTGGATGTTGTGGGAAGACAACCAGACAGATTTTCTTAAATGAGCAGATCTTTGGTCATCTCCTGTAAGTGTGGATCTCCTGTTGATTCTCTACTGAATGTGCAGCACCTTTTTAGGCTGCATGGATACCCTAAATGTTGATCTCAGCACATAAATTGAAGCTGTGACCTAAAATAGTGTAGAAACGTCATAGTCGAGTGTGTTCCCTGTAGAAGATGTGTTGACTTATTTAAAATTGGAAGATCAACACAAACATGGAATTTTAACAGGTGTTTATGTAATTCAACGTACATGGAAAAAAGATGATGTCATATCTAACACTTGTACAGTTGAAACACTCAATCTGAAGCTCATAAGTTTTACAAGGCAGTGTGGGAATGAATTTCGCCCCATAGTGACTGCAGAGTAACGTCCTCATTGCCTTCCCCTCCCCTCTTCCTGTTTTTGGTTTATTTAACCTTTATTTTGCATTAATGAGCACAGTGTCTTTTTGTATACTGTATTATGTATGTATACAGTTAAAATATGTGTATAATAATAATTTTAATAATAATACTTTAGCTACCACTACTATCATTATCGTGATAAATGACGTCACAATATAATACAGTGCGCATTTCTGATCATATGGTGTTTGTCGTCAATGTTTGTAGAAACCAACTGTATATTTCATTATAAAGAGAGCAAAATTAGAAGCAACACAGTGTTTACAGTGTTTGGTAGTATGTTTTAAAATGTAGCAGTACTAGTTATTTTTTCTCAGTTCCAACTGATCAGATGTCAGAAAAAATAAATATCATGACATAATGTGGATTGTGAAAATTTCCTGAAGTACTGCAATATTATACTTTTGCCATATTGACCTTCACTATCTACTACCACGACTACTATTACTACTACTACTACTACTAATAATAATAATAATAAAAAATACACATAAACTCTCACAACAATGTTAAAATCACTTCTTAAGTCTGTATTCCATCAGACACGTCTTTATTCTCAGTGTACAAACACACAAAATAAAAATTTAAATATTAAACCTGACAAAACTGGTTCAGATTTCCTTAATAACACATACAAAGTAGAAAAAAAACACTCAAATATAAGTCATTTGTCAGACTGGGAAGATGTACTGTCTAAAAACATCCACCTGTTTAATGCAGTCCAGCTTATTTACAGTGAATACAATTCATTTAAAAAGCCCCCCAAGATTGAGTTCAGAGTTGCAGAAGACTACAGAAAATGTACCATTAGCTTTTCATTACTGGGAGCTGTTATAGAATATATTACACTGTTTACATATTAGTTATGTAGTATTTATCTCTGAGCTGGTCTTCTTTATATACGTGTTCTTAACAGATTATTAAATTGTGAGACTTCTTAATGAATCATTCCCTCCTCTTGACCGGCATTCCTGTCATAATCAATCACTGAGAAAAGTTGAATTAAATACTGAGACGTCCATATTTGCCATTTTGTGAATCTGACCTTTGACCCAGTCAGTCAGACAATGGCTCAACCTGTGCTCACAAAAGTGGTCCAGTTAGTATTTCACATATGATGGCAGGAAGAACGTACATTAAAATAGGTAAATAAATGTTGCATCTATTCTGTTTTTAGTTATTCTTTATGCAGATGTCATTAAATGTTGTAAAATATAGCCTCAAGCTATTTAAGTCATTGTAAATGTACAAGTTATAACGACGTTTTAATCCAGACACAAAGAAATTCTTTGTATGAGCTTTGTTTGGATGAAAATGTAAACATGGTGTGATACAGTCATTTCATTCAGGTACACTTAAAAAATCTTCAAACTCTATTTTCTACAGCTTAATAACTTGCTTTGGCTTAAACCTGTTACTATCTGTTATTCTAGCTCCTATTCTATTCTATGAAGCTGTATCAGAAGAGTTGCTGACTCAGCTACTCTACTGTACAAACAGGGTAAAAAAAGAGTGTAAAAGTAAAAGTTCCCCTTCATTTATTTGATTTCGAGTCAAAACATCCATGAAGTCCAAGTCATTTTTAGGAGACACTTAAAGGCAAATAAGTGGAAAAAACAAGAATTTCCAAAACTGGAGTTTAAAAACTGATTAAAAGCTCCAGAGAAAATGTGTCTCCTAACAACCACCTGGAAGAGCTGGTTGACCCCAAAACTGCCCCCATCAGATAAACAGCACTTAAAGCTTTCATCTTTTAGAGAGAGGAGAAAATCAAGCTGCTTCAGATCTGAAAACATCCACAGGTGTTTCTGTCCATCCTTCCACTGTGAGAAGACGACTCAGCGCTGTGGGTCTGAAAGGATGTGTAGCTGATCAAGAAGAACCTCACTGAGAAAAGGAGACAGACATCAAACAAAGAAGCTGGACAATGGACTGACCACCCCAGAGTCCAGACCTCAACACCACTGAACTTTGGAGGTGTGTCTGCATATTCTTTGAGGAACTGAAAGTGAGTCTCCTGAAAAGAATGGAAGCTGGAATAAAGGGAAAGAGAGACTCACTGACTGAACACAGCTGAGAGGAGAGTTAGCTGCTGAGGCTTTGGTACATTTTTTTTTTTTAGTGGTCATGCTGATAGGAAATTAAATAAATGAAGGGGGTCTCTGTCTTTTGCACTTCACTGTATATAGATTTGTTTTTTAATGAACGTTTTACATTAAACCCAGTTGTTATACAACTGACAGTGAGACAGACGGTTATCAACATAAACACTGGCCAGTCAGGAATATGAAACCATAAAGCAGCAGGGTGTAAACATCAACCTGAAAGTGGTAATTCAACTGCATTACGTTTGTCAATTGTAATCAATAATAATAATAATCTGCTCTCATTAATTTTATTTGGTTGTAAAGAAATATGGTACATTTTGAATGCAAATGTGCTGAAAATGTACTTCTTGGTGTCTTGTTGTTACTGTCTATATTGCAATACTGCATGATTATAATACCACATTTCTGTATAATAATTTTTAATAATAACACTGAATTACAGTGAGGAACCTTAATGGCCTTCTAGATCAGAGAAAGCCTTTCTATGAACTAAAAATACATGATTCATTTTTAATAAATAGAATCATGATGATTGTTGTATTCAAACTCCAAGTATTGTAGTGTTTCACTGTTTAGTTTTGGTAGTTAAAATCTTGCCCAGTGGAAAATTCTCGGTGGTATGTAGGTAGATACAGCCGAGTAAGCCCTCCTTTGGTTAGGACTTCGGGAGCTGGACTGAAGGCCTTACACATTAGATTAACTACCGAGGAATCAACCAATGGCACTTTGCTTTTACAATGGGGTGGGACTAATTTACTCAGTAAAAACATCACTCTAGTCCTTCTGGAGGTTCTAGATACGTCACTGACTGTGAACTCATGTGAACATGAGTCGTAGTCTAAGACAGCGACGGCAGCTCAATACCAGGACCTTTACTGAAAGAGTCAGTGTAAAACTGATACACACAAGCTCAAATATAAGTTAATGTCTTTACAAGCTTCAAACATCTGTGTTTAATTTAGGATGACCAAAATCAGAACTAATGTAGTATTAGAATCCCATAGGGGCGCTGGTAGAAATTAGCATTATCGTATTTACGTTTTTGGTCATTTGTGGCCCAAACTGAAGGTCTACTTCTAACCAATTCTCCACTCCCGAACTGTACCAAAAACACTGAGCTGAACTATCGTGAAACCAGAGAGTTCATGATGCACTGAATCGTTAAATAAAGAAATGTAAGTGTATTTACACCCACACGTAACTGGCAGATTTGATGAGGTCATTTCTGATCGCGCTCTAAGAATGTGATGTTGTAGGTGAGCTGGTGTCCGTTGTCCCAGGCAAACAGAACCTTCTCCTTCGGGTTGTAGTCGATCTGCGTGGTGAAGGAGTATTCGTTAACAAACGGTAACCCTGGCGACCTCTCGGCACCTGTGTGTGTGTCGTACGCGTATGAAACTTGGGCATCTCTCCGGTCATAAGCATCAACAGCATACAGCACGCCGCAGGCGATGAAGCAGTTCCCGTAAGAGTTCCGTTTCAGCCCTGTCCGCCATGTGGTCTCTTTGCGAACAGACAGGTCATTAGGATCCAGTCTGGCCACCACAATCACCTCAGCCTGGGCATAGTCATAGTCCGCAGATGGATAGATGATCCACAATCCACTCTCATCCACGGCAAAGTCGATGTCTGAGTGACCCCTCCATTTCCAGGGCGTGGCGTCCTCATAAACGGCATCATGGAGCTGCGTCCAGGCCGCGACGTAGCGCTGCCGCAGCTCGTACTTGATGATGTTCTTGGTGAAGGCGCGGTTGTAGTAAAACGCCCCCCTGTATACGACATGGCCTGTTCCGATCCAGTTATAGGGCAGTTTGTACAGGTTACTCCACCGACCTGCACAGATGGGAAAATCATTAACATAGAAGCTTAAACTGAAACTGGGTGAGCTCTGTATTAAGATCTTTTACACAATTACAAAAATCTAAAATCATATATTTTGATATGAATAATGTGTAACTGAGACATTTTTAATGAAGTGATTATGCTGTTCCTCAGTCTGGCATTAGCATCAAAGGCTTAAACTTCATTTGCTAATTCAGTACACTAGGTGACAATGTAGCGCTCACTTACTAGATGGAGAAGAAGTCTAGCCATTCACTTGTAACAGCACAAACCAATGTGACAGGACTGTAAGCTAGCTAAACAGCTATCTTCAGTGCTTAAAATATGGGGAGTGCAGGTTCTAAATGTTTTTAAAATATTATACTTATTATAAATTTTTTATACATTTTATAATATTTTAAAATATTGTTTTAAAAACATTAGAAAATTGCATATAATAAATACTCATAATTATCGAATGATATACAATAATGTAGTGTGTTAAAATTTGTGTCTGTTTTGCCAGTAAAACCTCACACAGGCCCAAACATGCAGAGCGTAACTCTCTTACCTTGTTTGAAGTTTTCCAAGTTTCTGAACTCCACCAGACTGTTGCCATAATAATAGTTGGTGATGTAGATTTTGGAGTCCTTTGCCGCGGGATCCTTCATCCATGCGCCCTCGTTCCTCCCGTAGCTGTGCTGTTTCACAGGTTCAGCCACTGACGCTATCGTCCCCTCACACAGGACCTCTTTACCTACACAACAAACACGTATTTCAACGTTTACGACATTTTTGTGGTTGTGCTAAAGACCAGCCACTCAGATTAGAATTCTTCCCTTGTTCACACAATGCATGTCAGAGCATGGTGCAAAAGTAGCTAATGACACTGAGCCTTTTATGGTTCCATATACATTCACTGATTCACACTGGAATATTGTTGTAACCATAACTCCTATGGTTACAACAATATTCCAGTGTGAATCAGTGAATCCAGTGTTAGCAGGGCAGTTGTACCTCTGTCAGGATGCATGGTACAGTGTCTCTACATTTACTGACCACTTTATTGGACACTTTATCAGTCACTTTCTTACTCCTTAGTTATTGATACTACATTCAGCAAACCTTTATATTTAACCCCTTAAAATCTCAGGCTTTTTACATACTAAGGCTTATTATTCAGTTACTACAGGGACTTCAATGCAAACTAATGGAGCTAATCTTAGGTTATAGAAGTGTGTTATAATTTTGGGACGTGGCCATTTAAGGGTTTAAGAATACCTGGTAGCATCTGTAACACTCGCACTAAGAGACCAAAATTTTTAGTACAACTGAACACTTCGAAGCTCACAGAACAGAACTGTGGAGAAAGAGTTGTGGCCAAGCGTCGAATGCGGGACGGAGAAGTCGGTCTGGCTGAACCAGCAGGCTAAGTAGCTGATTATGTTCACCTGTGCCTTGTTTCTGCCAGCCTACTTATAGTCATCTCTTCCCTCAGTAGGGGGCAGAGCCCAGAGAGAGAAGGAGACCTGTGAAGGCGTGAGAGCTGAGCTGAGCTAAGCTAAGCTGAGCTGAGCTGAGCTGAACTGAACTGAACTGAGCTGAGCTGAGCTGAGCTGAGCTGAACTGAACTGAGCTGAGCTGAGCTGAGCAAAAAAGAAAAAGAAAAGAAAGGACTGAAAAGTCCCAGCGAGCGTCTTGTCTTACTTTGTGGGCTGGAAAGCCGAGTGGTTTTTGTGTTGTGTATAAATAATAATAAAAAGCTCTCCGTCTTCACCCCTGCCCCCCGGTATTGTTCCTCCACCCATCATTAAAGCTGTTACAAGAACATTCAAAATACTTTATTATTCAAAAGGATGTTCACTGGAGACATACATGACTGACAAAGTTTCATTGTCAGTTAATTTAAAGCTAATGAACAAAGCATTTTGTAAACTATGTTTACATTAGTTCTATTACACACTTCGATAACCTAAGAATAGCTCAGCCAGTTTGCACTGAAGTCCCTGTAGTTACTGAATAATAAGCCTTAGTGTGTAGTAAGCCTAGGATTTTAAGGAGTTAATAAACGGAAGGACAAGGTTCAGTCAATTAACTTTAAAGTGGCAGGTGTCGTGTCTAATAAGGAGCAAGGTACAGTGACCGAAGCTGCCCCTTCAGATGAGCTAATGCGAAAGATAACACTAGAGCTAATCAGAGCAGCTGAAGAGATGCTGAGGAGGATTCGTCATCATTTACACAAGATCTTATAAACTTTACTGAAACAAGAATGGCAATGATATTGATCTCTAAACAGAATGTTAATGTGAGCGCCTGACTGATTTATCAACAAAGCTGTAGATAAATAAAGGATAATCTTAACATTGTTGTGTAACATAATTTATAGTTATATACCACATCAAAATGATATTGAGTAATTACAGCAACCCAGATGATGTTTATCCTACCTTAGAGTCTGATAATAGTTTAGTCATTGAGCTGTGAGTTTGGTCTTTAATCCAAAATGGGGGTTAAATAATATAAAATAAAAACAGCTCCGCCCTCAAGATGATCAGGATAGTGTGAATCAGCTATTAAACCCTTCTGTCTAACACCTCTCAACGTTTCTTACTCTAATAACTATGATTTACTACCACCACCGTTCTCACTGCGGGTTTGTTGTTTTGAAGACGACAAAGTGTTACATGGTAGGTGTTTCTAATAAAACGGCAGTCAGTGTAGATCCAAGATACCTAATAAACTGCCTATTCAGTGTATATGTATGATACCTGTAGGAGTTGAAGTGCCTCTTGTTCTGTTGAATGTTATCAGAATGGTAGCAGTGCATGAGGTTTATGGCGTTATTTAGTGCTAGAAGTTTGGCTGTACCTGCAGCAGTGTGCGTGAGGTTGATGGTGTTGTCCAGCGTTAGCAGGATGGTCGGAACTGGACGCTCTTCTCTGGCCACTGCTCTGCTGGTTGTTGTGCTTTGGGTTGTCATTGTGGTGGTGGTGGTTGTTTTTATGGATGTGGCTGTGTTGGTATATGTTGCCGCAGTAATAGGCATTGAGGCAGCTTCCTCCACTTCCAGTACCATGTCCACCTCATCGGGCTCCGCCTCCTGATCTGAGAGCCACGGACAAAATGTCAATCAACAGGCTGTAAGCATGGAAACTGCTAGGCTAATCAAATAGATATAACCAAAAAGACTGTCAAAATCTACTGTTACCATGGAAACGGCAAGACAAGAAGTAAACTTAAAGCAATAGTTCAGAAAAAAGAATAAAATGTAGACGGTTGTCTTTTTCTGATACATGCTTAGTTCATATATCCCTAATTAGCACTGTGTGAACCACAAGCCTAAATCATCAGGCACTCACTCAAGCCTGCTTACGTGTTTTTTTTACAGTGGCTTGGTCATGCTGGTTAACCAGTTTGGTAATGGTGGTCATGTTAGTCAGTGAGCTTGGTCATGGTGTTCATTCTGGTCAAACATCTTCGTCAAGCTGGTTGACCATCTTGGTCATGCTGGTCAACCAGTTTGGTAATGGTGGTCATGTTAGTCAGTGAGCTTGGTCATTGTGGTCATTCTGGTCAAACATCGTTTTTAAGCTGGTTGACCATCTTGGTCATGCTGGTCAACCTGCTTGGTCAAGGTTGCCATCAGCTTGGTCATGGTGGTCGATCATCTTGGTCAAGCGGGTTGACTGGTCATACTGGTTGACCTGCTTGGTCATGGTGGCCAACTTGATCAAGCACAACAGACATGCTGTCTGCCAGCATATTTTCACTCTCTTCACTTTTTTGTTGTGTAAATGTTTGTAACTTTGTTCATCTTCTGCCAGTTGATCTTCAAACCATTCTGATTTAGTGCTAGTTCTGGTTTGGAGCATGTATAGTTTGGGTTTTGCCCTGCATGCAGCACTACCAGAGACCTAATCAGGGTCATTACCATTAGAGCCTGACCGCTACAGGATATTTAAGACTGATACCGATTTCAATATTTGAGAATGTAAAAATGTGGTATATTCTAGATATTTTCATTGTAATCTATTTCACAAGACAATTTTCATCCTACCATGAATACAGATGATCTCCGTCAGGGGGTAATGTTACTTTGCTCGACTCTTTTAGGGTCAGCTGATTGTGACTTGTGGCATTACAAATACATATCTTGCCAACAGGGAAGTTGTACAGCGCCCTCTTATGGACAAATTACGCAACAACAACACTCATAACCTGGTTGAAGGATCTGCCCTTCACGTCTCCATTTCCTTTTCAAGTGACATCGGTCATAATGAACATCGATACCAATTATCTGCAAGCAGGTCATATCAGCCGATAATCATCATGGCAATTTATCGGTCGGGCTCTAGTTTGAGCACGTATTTGAGATTTTGGAGGTGTGCATGTTGTGGCCACTTACCCATGAATCTTTTTCATCTTGGCCAAGCTGTTGTGTTCTTTTCAGCACGGTTGCATCATTTTTGTCTTTGAAAAGTTAACCACACATATTGTCGATGCTGGAACCAAACCCTGAATCTCATTTTTGCATTTAAAAATGCCAGTTATTCTTTACAATGTGTTAAAACTTCATGATAAATGAAGCAATGAAAAACTGTATCCAAATCACTTGGAAAAAATGCTTGTTCCACTGACTTTCATTCAAAGTTATCAATGTTTTTCATTCTCCAGTACAAGTTGCCACTTAGGAGACACGAGATTTTGTCACTACTTCCAGACCACGACAGTATACTAACTTACACTACTTACAGTAAAACGAGAGGGGTCAAGAGTCTGTTTGTTGTGAGTCGTTGCTTTGTTGGGGTTTGATTTTGGGTTGAATGAACAGGGCACTGTGGAAGAGCGACTGAGAGGGTGAGATGATCAGAATTAGAGATGGTTATCATCTGTTCAGTGTATTCTTGGCCTGTATGTGAGACAGGAGTTTGGCTCAAGCTCCAGTTTATGTGCATGCAGGAGTCTATGTGCTGGCATCCACCCCACAGAAGATCTGGCTGGATGGATTTGTCGCTACGGGCACAGCAGATCTGTTTACAGTTGCTAGTGTGAGCTTGCTGAGTGAGCGCATGTGTGTGAATTATAGCTCATCATGTGGCAGATTTATTGTCACAGAGAGGGAACAGTGCATTCCTCTCTGGCTCTCATCTCTCTCTCTGATAAAGATCACAATTATCCACAGATGATTCATATCAGCCTTCAAGCCGCACAACACGCTCCACTGAAATATGGACGGGGACGCATATGTGTGTGTTAGAAATGTACTTTTTAACCCTTTTTGCTATTCAAATATTTACATGTTCAAAATTAATAATACATAAACACTACAATAAGAAAATATCTTGTATAATTACAAACCAAACACAAGATCAGAAGCTTTAGCATTAGTTTATTAGTTTTAGTGTCTAGAGCTATTATAGCAGTGACCTGTACCTGATCATGTGGTTGATTTACCTTTGTAATGAAATGATATGAGTTTGGATCTGCATATTTAAATAACTAGACTCATCCCTAATGTGTGTATACAACTGCTAACCTGACTGCAGCTGACAAAATTCAGTCTCTCTCTCTCACCCGTACTCTGTGGCCGTTCTGGTTTGTCTGCTTTGTAGTAGGTGATGCCGCGGACGTGTCCTGGCTGCTGCTGGCTGGGATGGGTTTTCCCTGCCGGATCTGCCCTCTCATGTTTAGCTTCATTGGACGCCTCCTGCTTGGACTTGACAGGCTTCTCTTTGGCGGCTTTGGCTGGCACTTTTACTTTCTCTGTTTTCTTTGTGACGAGCCTGCTGGAATCTTTTAATTTCCCACTGAGCGTGTCCTGCAAATACAGCATATCCAGCAGTCACAACAAACACACTGTCTCAACTGCCAATGTTGTAAAAAGACTGACTAGAAATACATGTGTATCCAAATCTGGGCTCAGTCTTTTTTCATTCCAGACTGAACCCCCAACCTAGAAACCTAGACAAAATGAAAACCTGATTATTTTTAGCCCTATATATATATATGCTGTATAAACACATAATATAGAAACGTTAAAACAAACTGCAAAACGTTTAGACCCGACAGCCTTTCTTTTTGTGATGGTCAACTACAAAGTTGAGTCCAAGAAAACTTTCCCATCAGGACAATAAAGTGTTGCGTGAGTGAGTGAAAAATTGATTTCAGAAGAATCAGGACTAAAGTACCTGTACCTTGGTGCTGGGGGTGGAGTCTCTCTGCGTCAGCTGAAGGCCCAGATTGGACAGCTCCTTCTTTATGCTCATCATGAGATTAGACTGATTCTCGTATTGCCGTAGCTGGTTGGTCAGAGCCGCCATGCTGTCTCGTACAAAGTCGTTCTCGCGGGTCAGGTTGGTCTTGATCACCTGAAGAAGTGAAAGATTGTGTCTCAAACAGGCCTTTAGTTCTGAACGTAGTAAATTACTCTCTAAAGAACAAAAGTAACCTGATTTCAGCAATAGAACACAAGAGGGGGTCTTTTATGAGAACAACATCATGGTTCCCTCTCAGGCAGTACCTGAAATGCGATGTTATTCATGATAATGCATAACCTGAAGAGTTCTACCAGTTTTATATTAACAACGTTTAGATTTGAAACATTAAAAGAAAGAATTAAAGCAAACAATCCCTGCACATTGTTTCAAATGTCCTTTTTCAATGTTGCCAATTTCTCTTACTAAACATCCAGTTCCTCCACAAACTTAACACAACTCCACCCAATTTATCCTAACCCAACATTTTAACCTAACACTACATTCAACATGTTACAAGACAACACAGTAACCCAGCACTCCAGCACTCTGCCTAACCCAGCACTCCATTTAATACAATATAACCCAACACTGCAACCCAGCACGATAGCCAAACACATCATAACCCAACACTTTAACTCAGCTTGCCTTTCAATCCCTTCAACACAATATAACCCAACACCAACCCAATGCTCCATTTAACACAATATAACCCAACACTGTAACGCAGCACTAAAACCAGCACAATATAACCCAACACTGCAACCCAGTACTAAAGCCAAACTTCATAACACAACTCTATATCTCAGCATTTAATCAATTCACTCAACACAATATAACCCAGCACTCTATACGACACAATATAACCCAACACTGTAACCCAACATTTCACCCAGCACAATTTACCCCAAAAATGTAACCCAGTACTATAACAAAACACATCATAACCCAACACTTTAACTCAGCATTCCATTCAATCCCTTCAACTCAATATAACCCAACACCAACCCAACACTCCATTTAACACAATATAACCCAACACTTTAACCCAACCCAGTACTATAACCAAACACATCATAGTCCAGCATAATAACACAGCACTCCATCCCTCAATTCAACACCATATGACCCAACACTGTAACCCAGCATTCCACCCAGTATAATATAACCCAACACTGTAACCCAGCACTATAACCAAGCATAGCATAACCCAACTCTATAACTCAGCACTCCAACACTCTGTCTAACACAATATAACCCAGCATTCCATTCAACAGAGTATAACCCAACACTGTAACCCAACACTCCACCTAGCACAATGTAACCCAACACTATAACCCAGTACTATAACCAAACATAGCATATCCCAACACTATAACTCAGCACTCTAACACTCTAACACAATATAACCAAGCACTCCATATAACACAAAACAACCCAACAACAAACTTAAACACTACATACTACACAATAAAACCCAACACTGTAACCCAGTACTATGACCAAACACATCATAATCCAAAACTATAACTCAGCCCAACTCTGCCCAACACAACATAACCCAACACCCCACGCATCACAATATAACCCAACACTGTAACCCAGCAGTACACTTAGCACAATATAACCCAACACTTTAACCCAGTACTATAACCAAACACAGCTTAACCCAACACTATAACTCAACACTCCACTCAACTCATTATAACCACACACACAGCCTCACCTCCTCCAGATTGTTCATCTGAGAAACCACTTTGTTGATGTAGGAGTGGATCTTCATGAGGTCCATACTGAACAGAGTTCCTTCCAGGAGATCTACCATGGACTGCAGCTGCAACAGTGGAGAGAATGAATGAGAGGATGACAGCAAGAAACGGAAAGAGAGAGAGAAAGAGAAAGACAAACAGAGAAAGAGAGAGAGAGAGATTAGTGTCAGACACAAATAACGCAGGTGTAAAAGTGCATTGTGTAGAAAACAACACTGTCCCGCAGCGCAGTAAAACAAACATGTCAGAAGTCTTTAATGGTTCTGACCTGGTGTGTGAGTGCGTAAGTGAGGTACCTTCAGCAGTTCTGGTGCTTGTTTCTTCAGTTTCTCCATCTTCCACTCGTTTTCACAGGGGTTGAGCGATGAGGGCGGGGCTGTACAGGAGCACTTGCAGTCTGCACCTGAACTCACCGTCTCCACGGTGTAGAAGTCCTCCACCCTCGCGCTCCCGGTGCGCAGCCGAGCACACGCATCCCGCGGCAATGGACGCATCACACACTTGCAGCGGCAGTCCGACCCCTCCGACGTCATCCGCACCTGATCTTCTCCAAAGATCTGAGAGAGAGTTGGGGACAGGAATTTACAGGTGTTCTTTGGGTGGTGGATCGTTCTCAGTACAGCGGTGACATTGACATGGCAGTGTGTGTTGCACTGGTACAAATGCAGCATTTGGAGTATTTTGGAGTTCACTGACTGTGCACTTTTATTAGACACTCCTTGAAGCTCCACCTTGTTGGTGTAGTTCATTGTTTTCTGCATAATATCAATCATTCTCTAGCCCTTCATCAGTGGTTATTTTCTGACCACAGGACCACTACAGGCTGGATAATTTGGACGGTGGACTGCTCTCAAATATGCTACCATTGCAATATTGTGTCAGTTTCACTAAGTATGGTCCACCACTCAAATATACCTGCGCAGTGGTGGTCCTTTGCAGTCCCTTTCCTTTGATGGATGGTGTAGATGGGGCTGATAAACCGCAGTAATGGATGAACTATAGTCTGTAACCGCACACCTACAAAGTGCCTCTATAGGCTAAATATTTCTGATAGATATAAATATTTCCCCACAACCAAAAACCAACAACTCCCTGTTTAAGGTTTGAGGACACTTTGCTTTCTTTTGAAATTATACAAGTAATATTTGATGTCCACTCATTCTTTCACTGCTGAGTAAGAAAAATGCCTTTTATTTGCACCTGTTACTACTGGGTATATTTAGCTTCAACACCCAGCTACATGCATTTGGATGCAAAAGTTTGTGCACTTTCAATTTCCAAGTTATTGTTGATTTTCTAAGTGAAAATAAGTTACATATCTTCTACAGAGAACACACCTCTGCACATTGTAATACATGATCACTGTTTATTTTGTTTTCCTAAAATAAAAAAAATAAAACATAAAATATGGCTTGTGCAAAAGATTATTTTATGTTTTATCTTTTAGAAACATGCGATTTGACCTCATAGAGCTGCACTGAAACACTTTTGAAAAGCGTACAAACTTTTGACAGGTGCTTTCCCAGTTAGCAAAATTTGTCTGGCCCACTTGTGGGTCACATTCCTGGTTTGTTCTGGCTCAGTATACAGCTGGGTCCTCAGCCCAGATCTGACCCACACACTGTAAAGTGAGTAGAACTAAAGGATATGGCCCAAATCTGGCGCAACTACATTGTTGGCCTACAACACTCAAAACAGAATTGTCCCACAAATGTAGCTATGAGGCAAAACAGTATGAAGCTGTCCATATGGATCTGGCCCTATTCTGGCCCACGTGCCAAATATCTACCCGGTATCAAACAACCCTCATGTAGGAAGGCCAGAATCGGCCCAAAACTGTCTGCTATCTGGGTCGTACCCTCTCTATGAATCCAGAGACCCTCTCAAAGCTCCCACACACACACATTCACCCACAGCAGAGTTCCTGCCAGTCTCACATATTTAAACCTCCTATTGTCCCTCTGCAGGTCAGAAACGTGTGTGTCCACTGTTGCCATGGTGACTGATTGACTGCAGGATCAGAAGCTAATCCCAGAACAACAGCTGCACACAAACACACAATCTGATACATAAAGAGTTGGGCAATTTTGACAGCAACACTAACTCTGCAGAAATCATCATGAAAGTGTTATTTTCATATCTGATAATGGACAGCAGTGTTTTTAACATAGAACAAACAGGTTTAAGTACATTTCTGATGAAATAGTTTACAAATAAGTGATTGTTTAATGACATCAAGGTTCCTATAGATCTTTAAAGAGTCTTAAAATAGATCTGACTTGACTCTTCACTCTTTTTTTGACTTGACTTCATTGTCTTAAGGCAAGAGACTTGATTAAACAGATATTTTTAGAGAGTAAAAGAGTTTTTAAAGAATAAATATTGAATCGGCATCAGCATCGGGCCGATACTTAACGTTTAAATATCATTATTGGGATGTGATCATGACATTTCTGTTGATGAGTTGAGCACCTGCTGGTTTACCCCTGATCAAATTAGATTTACCTGATTTTCCCATTCAGAAGCTGCTGAAGGCTTGAATAACGCAATCAGGTATTTTTCATTAATTGTAAAGAATTAAAAACTGATCAGTGTAAGGAACTTATCAACAAAGAGCCTGGAGTCTTTCTCCAGAATACAGAGTGCAGCACTGCAAACCAATGGAACATTCTGGATCAATTAATTTAACTCTGCTTAAATCTGATTGAAAGACCTCTGGCCAAATTAGACTAGGGCTACCATATTCAATTACATAACTAATCAAGTAACTAGTTGTTGGTTTAATGATTCGTTAGGAAATCATATACATGCAATTCACAGCAGGAAAGATTACATTTCTTGCACATTATTGAGATCCTGCTGGTGTTGGTTTCCTCTCTGTCAATGAGTGCTAACAGAGCCCCCTTGTGGAGAATGTTCAGAGTGCTAAACACGGCTTTATAATGACCTGCAAATTCCCTTTTTATCATTCAAATCGCTATCTAACTGCTTAGCCAATTCATCATGCATGTTTACAGTTCATACACTTCAATCAGCCATTTTTAAAATCGAGTAATTGATTTTAAGAAAGTAATCAGCCCTGAAACATTAACAAAAATGTTGTGTTGCTATGGTTGTTGGCAAATTCACTGTGAAACTGTGAAATAATGTATTCTTGGTCTGCCAATAGACACTAATAGGAAACGTCTCTGGGAAACTCTGGGAAGGTTTCACTCCCTCCTTAAACTCAAATGATTAGCAATTAATTAGCAATCAGCTTCATATCATTCTGCAGATCTGAACTGCTGCCCAGAATGGATTACATTCCCGGATCTTGAGAACCTACAAATTCTTGTGTTCTTGAGACCTTTTAATTGGTCTGCTCTCTCTCTCTGTCTCTCTCAAGGGTCCTAAAGCCCCTCCTGAAGATAAACAACACTGAAGCGCTACAGAATCTGTGCCTACAGTGGCTGAATGGAGGAGTTTCACGTCTTTCTCCATTTAAATACTGAACATTACAACACTGTTTTTGTGCTTTGTGTTTCTGTGATAGACACATTGTTAAGAGCTGCAATAATAGATCAAATTACCATAAACACAATGTAATGAGACTGACAGGAACTTAGTTTAATGAGTGCTTTCCTGTACGGGCTTGAACCCAGTCTGGGCCAGATGTGATCTTGTAACGAGAACTAAGAGAGATTTTGTGCTGAATGTGGGAGCAGCATAATTAAGGTAGAAACAAACTGAGAGTGAAGTTTCTAAACCATTCCAACACCTTATGAAGGCAGAGCTGACAGTAGGGGGCACTGGTGCACTTGTCTCCTAGAAAGGTTAGAAAACATGGTTGGAATCACAGGGACAGCCCTATCGTGGTTCAAATCTTACTTAACGGAACGTTATCAGTTCATAAAGGTAAATGACTTATCTTCCAATTATTCACAAGTAAGATCTGGAATTCCGCAAGGCTCTATTTTAGGACCATTATTATTTACATTATACATGTTACCGTTAGGCACAGTTATAAGTAGCCATGGCATTAACTTTCATTGTTACGCAGACGATACGCAATTATACATATCAGCCAAGCCTGATGACAAATACAGGTTAAAGAAAATAGAGGACTGTGTAAAAGATGTGAAAGGTTGGATGTTGCGTAACTTCCTCCTCCTAAACAGTAACAAAACAGAGGTTCTCCTTCTGGGTCCAAAAGTGGCAAGAAATAAATTATCAGATTTAACTTTAAATCTCACTGACTTTCCAGTTATACCAGGTTCAGCAGCAAAAAATCTTGGTGTAATACTCGATCCAGATTTATCATTCGATCAACACATAGGCAGCATCACTAGGACAGCTTTTTGTACATCTTCGCAACATCGCCAGAATAAGAAATGCCTCATCGCTGCACGATGCAGAAACATTAGTACATGCCTTTATTACTTCAAGGCTAGATTACTGTAACGCCCTACTGTCAGGATGCACCAGCAGGAATTTAAGTAAACTTCAACTAGTTCAAAATGCTGCAGCCAGGGTTCTCACTAAAACTAGAAAATTTAATCATATCAGTCCAGTTCTATCATCACTCCATTGGCTGCCTGTTAAATTCCGTATTGATTACAAAATTCTTTTATTGATGTACAAAGCCCTACATGGGCTCGCTCCTGAGTACCTGCAAGACCTTATTTCCCATTATGAGCCACCACGATTACTCAGATCACAGAGTGCTGGCTTTTTAATAGTTCCCAGAATTCAGAAGGTTTCATCTGGGGGAAGAGCCTTTTCTTATAAAGCCCCCAAACTCTGGAATGATCTTCCAGAAAATGTTCGGGACTCAGACTCAGTCGCAATATTCAAATCTAGGCTGAAAACTCATTTGTTTAGTTTAGCTTTTGGTAGCTAATGTTTCCCCTTGGATAAAGGCAGCAGATCCAGGGGTCCATGGACACAGGGAATTATAGTAAACTGAGACTGGTGCTGTCGTCCCGACCGCTCACACGCGAACACTCAGGTTTGTGGAAGGTGGAGCGGAGGGATGCCAGATTGTTTCAGGGTGCTCCCGTGTCTGTGTGCCCTTTTGGTTCGCTCCTTTTAGTTAAGCTGTTATAGTCAGATCTGCCGGAGTCGTTAGCCACACTCTGGAAATGTTTTACATACTACTATACATACACCTATACAGAACTAAACTAACTCCATTTCCCTACCTTTCTTCCGAGAAAACGACTGCCCACCTGTCCGGCCGGACACTGCTGGATGATTGTTTGTAGAGCTCTCCGGCTACCCGCTTCAGACCATTTACCCACAACCCAGTCACCGCCACCTGCCTTGGACTGGCTGCCCACTCTACACTGAAGTCTCCTAACTATTACTACCTCCTAACTATTACTACTACTACTATTAATATTAGTAGAATAATAATTTTGTAGGTAGTTTGACCAGAGGAGGGTGGGTCCCCCCATGTGAGCCTTGGTTCCTCCCAAGGTTTCTTCCTCAGTTCTGAGGGAGTTTTTCCTGGCTTGCTCACCTGGAGGATTTACATTTCATGTTGAAACTTTGTTCTAAACGGATTTGTGTGAAGCTGCTTTGTGACAACATCAGTTGTAAAAAGCGCTATACAAATAAATTTGATTTGATTTGATTTGATTTGTCAACACTGTCCAATGAACAAAAATCCGTCATTACAACATGAATGTAATGCAAGTTAGTACTGATGAAAAAGCCCTCAAAACTCTGTCTGCACTTGCGGCTCATCCAGCCAGACACACTATTTCAACCACAATTCATCAATTCTTACATCATAATCATAATATCTAACACCTTTATTAAACAGCACATTTTTATGTCTATGTCTTGCAGCCATATTTCACAAAGTATTCCCCATTCTACAGTTTGCAGCATGTTTATCTGTTGCTCTATAAAATATAAAACTAGTGATGACATGTCAGTATTGATGAGCATTGGGATGAAATTGGCAGAAAATGCTGGATGGGATATTTGAGTGAATAATAAAATGAATTCCCGGCAGAAGTAAAGTCATTCACTACACTCTCAGAAATAAAGGTAGTAAACTGTCACTGGGTCAGTTCCCCTCTTGTCACTGGAGTGGGACCCTCAAGGCTCCATCTCAGGACCTTTAGTCAGGGAACATAACTGAACCATAATCCACTGAAATGATATGTTCTAAGCTGTACTGACTCCACACACCCCGTCTCGCCTCCAGGCTTTTATTTTACTGTTCTGTTTTAAAACATTCGGTTATGAAAAGGTACAAATACGAACTTTTCACCTGGAAACACTTATTTAAGGTTCACAGTCAGACCTTAAAACCACTGTTGGAGCTTTGAGGGAAAGTTTACATTGTTTGTACCTTGATGAAGGAAAAATGTACCTGAACAGAACCTTTATTTCTAACAGTGTACTTTGAGCATGATAGTAGGGCTGCTTGATCATTTTGGTCAGTATTGAGGTCACAATTATTTAACATGATTATTCATTGATTTTGGAAACTTGCATTTATTGAACTAACACCTTTTTAATAGTGGATTTTCTTGAACTTTAAATATAAAACTTAAAAGCAAATAAAAATAACAGAAAAGCACTGGAATTGTAACACAAAACAATATGAGAGAAATATAAACAGATAAAAAAAATGTTTTTGAAATGCATGAACAATGTGCACTGCATTAGCACTGCAAAAAATGAGGTTTTAACTTAATTCTATTTTTAACATTCTTTTTAATAAAAAAATTTGAGTTTGAGTTGAGTGAACTTCTAATAATTCTATAATAACTTCTATAATATTTCATTAATTGCGCAAATGTAAGGCCAGAAGCGGGACTGTTTTTTTCCTCAATACCCCACAATCACCACAGTTTCACTCCTGGACGCCGCATCCCACAGTAGGCACCTCTTACTAATGAACCAACTCGACCACCCTGCATTTCCCCAAGAAAGCTGAGGCCTCTGCGTCCACTCAGAGGGACGTTAAGCCCTGATGGGTCCTGACGGCTTTTTTGTGTCGTCTCATTCATGGCAAACCGACCGTTTTAGCCGAAGTGACTTTCGCCGTGAACATGATCGGCTCTCCGGGCTTTTCATCCATCACGTGACCAGCTTGGAGGTCAGAAAAAAGCTCTGGAGAGCTGCAGTAAACAGAGCGGCCGGCGAAGAGCTTCACCTCTCTGAGGATAACTGCAGCAGTGTCAGCTGAAATTCAGAGAGATTTAATTAAACTGTCCTTTGAGCAGAGGTCACTGCACACCCAAATGGGATTAATTTAATCCACCTGATCAAACTGCTGCTGCTGGACTCCAGCGCAGTGACCTCTGCCAGAGAAACCAGCGGTCAGTGACCGTTAGGACTAATGAATGAGTTAATTAAAGTGTGGTCATGTGAAGTCCTTCCTGAGTCAGGGAGGCAGCCTCAGCAGTGTAAAGAATCCATAAGGCTGCATTTGTCTCTCAGACTAATTGCTATGGAATGCTGTCTCTTTGCATTTTTTTGGCCATCATTTGTCACGCATGTTTCACCACCCGCTGACCGCTCACCTCACGAGTATCAGTGATTGAAGCAGCCATAATATAGTATTTCAGATGAAAGTAGCACACGGTCTGTATTCAAATACCACCACAGAGGTACTAACCTCATTTCTAAAAAAGTTGGACAGTGCATGCAATGCTAATAAAACACAGTTATTTGTAAATAGGGCTGAGCAATATGACAATATATATTGTGACCGTGACAAATTATGTCACGATACAGTACAATATGCTTATCTGAACATATCATGTATATCATCCGCACTTGTAAACACTGATCAACTGTACATTTCATTATAAAGACAGTAAAATCTGTATTGAGAGCAACACAGGATGCCAAATATTGGATAAGTAATTTTTTTGCTAGTACTTTTTAAATGTAGATTCTTTTTTCTCAGTTTCAACAGATCAGATGTCTGAAAAAATAAATATCGTAACATATCATGTCATGCACCTCTATTTGTAAATCCACTTTGACCTCTATTAATACAAAAACAGTGCAAATCAGAATCAGAACCTTTAATTGTCAAGTGTACATTGAATCACTTTTCATAAAACGAACACAATAAAATAAATAAATTAATGTAAACAAATGTAGAAAAAGATATTTCATATATATATATATATATATATATATATATATATGTATATGTGTGTGTGTATATATATATATATATATATATATATGTATTTGTGATTCTCCGTACTGAGTGGTGGGTCTCCCCTGCTGTTTAATAAAAGAGCATTTGCTTAAAGAGCTATGTTTCCTGCATCTTCTTCTATGTCAACGCCACACTGGTGTCAGAAGTGGGATTGTCCCCTAGCGGACTAAAGGGGAACTGTGAACCTATAAAACCACCCATTCTGCCTACAGCAGTTTAGCTCCACCCTTTCAGCTTACAGCAGTTTAGCCCCACCCTTTCAGCCTACAGAGGTTTAGCCCCACCCATTCAGCCTACAGCAGTTTAGCTCCACCCATTCAGCCTACAGCAGTTTAGCTCCACACATTCAGCCTACAGCAGTTTAGCCCCGCCCATTAAGACTGATGTTACAGCAAGTGTTGCAGTCTGGACTGCTTTATAAAAACCATTTGTGTTTTTTTTTCTAGAGCAAGTCAGTTGTACAGTAGTTTACTTTTTACTTATGAAAAATATTTACACAATTTTTCATATATCAACAAATAACACTTCAGAGTAATTCACCTCCTTGGGTGTATAATTGATATTATTGAATATTGTGATAATTTAAATAAGTGCTGATATTTTGCAAATGATAATTGTCCCCTTCTCTCATGAGCCACATGACTTTTTTTGTATTGCTCTGCCCCTTTATCTGTCCATTCTCATTAGGTTGATCTTCTAAGTGTAAATAAGTAAACACATCCTCTACAGCAGGGTGTCCAGTTGGTGTGGCTGCAAGTTTTCACTCCAACACAGCAGGAGCTCACCTGATCAGCTGTTTAAAGACTGAGACTGACTGATTAAACAAGTGGACTCAGGTGAGCTCTTCTGGTTCGGAATGAAAACCTGCCACGCCGATCCACGTCTGTTTTACCCCAAAGTGTTAAAATCAGCAAATAAACAGAAATCATGCAGCACAATTTATAGAAAAAAAAATTATTCATTTAGAAAAACAACAAAAACGTGATTTGGGGTGTTCAGACTTGCATACTGTACTATTAGTGAAAATGCTCTGTAACTCACACATGTGGTACTTTGTAACTGAATCTAAATCACAGTTATATTATTTATCATGATAAATCCACATTATTGTCCAAGTTTCAGACCAAAACTGAAGATACTTCATCACTGTAAACATATCGGTCAGCCAAAACTCTAACAGACATCAGCTCAAACTAACAGAATATGATTTGGTCATTTGACATAAGCAACCCAAAAAAAATCCAGAAGTCAGTTCAGAGCTGTGATGGAGCTTTTTAGAGTAACTGGCAGCCAAAGTTATCAGATCAGTTTAACTGGACCAGAAGTCTCTGACCACAACTTCTCCAAACCGCCTGTGCACGAGATTCACTGAGCAGAAAGTAGCTGAACTGAACGGCTACTGATGAACCCCATTAACCACTTTAACCTGGCTGTCAGTCAGGAGGAGTGAAAATAATCAGTTTCCCAATAAACTGAGTGGACCGAGCAGTAAACAAACTCAGCCTGAACAATGAACTACCAGTGACCAATAAACTGACCATAAACGAGCCTTAATTCTACCTTCATCTTCTCCAGGTGTCCACACTCCCCCGTGTTTCTCTAAACCACATTAAGGATGGACTGTCTCAGAGGTCACAGAGCTCAGAACCCCTCACTGTAGATCACTGACCCTCACTAAACCCGCAGTTCCTGACCAACACACACACACATCAACGATCAGATAAGCAGTTTCAGTACCTTACTTTCAGAAGCCGCCTGTGTGCACAGCATGACTGAACACAGCAGGACACTGGCCAGGCTGCTCAGGTTCCTTGTGGTCCTCATGGTCACTCCCGGTAAACAATCCAATAAATCGTTTAATAAACAGTCCAGTGACTTCAGAGATTCTACGGAGACTTCGTTTCATCAGACACGCTGAATATACGGGGTACAAACCTTACAGCGCAGCGCTCGCTCCCTCTCTCTCTCTCCTCTGTTTCTCCCCCCTCTGCCCTCTCTCTCTCTCTCTCTCTGCCTTCTCTTTCTCCTCTCTCTCTGTCCTCTCTTTCTCCCCCCTCTCCCTCTACCCCTCTCTCTCTCTCTCTCTCTCTGCCCCCACCCCCCTGCCCTCTCTTTCTCCTCTCTTTATCTCTCTCTTTCTCTCTCTCTCTGGGTGTGTTTGTATTTAATCAGTACAAACATGTTCTGTATGACAAGCATAACAAGACACCAAATAGTCAGCTATATTATTTTGGGAATAAATGCCCTGTAATGGGTTCTGACCTCTCCTCTGTCCTCTTATAACTCCACAGTCAAGAACAGCGTTTTCTCATCCACCTATTTTAAACCTGTAATGGTCAGAATCACCACAGGAGGACAGCAGTGAGCTATAGAAAAGGCTTTAAAGCTGTGAATGAGTGATGTCGAGTTCTCATTTCAGTGTTCCACTGATTTTTATTTATTTATTTTTTTTGTAATAAAATTTCTAAATAATTAATTGGTGAAGATATAAAGAAAAAAAAAAAAAAACTTACCAAGTCAGAATTGTTCAGAGTGGTGGTGATAGGAACCAGACGTCCACCTCTAAAAGCTCCCTCACAGAAAGTTACTACATGAAATGGTTATGAATTCACTGCCTGATGACTGAGACACTGTTTTATGATAGTTTTGAGAACTTAAACTCCATTCATGGTGGAGGGATACATGGAGGGCGCTGTGAGGCAAAATAGTCCCCAAAGAAAACGTATTATTTCAGATTTTTGGAGGAAATTTTAATTATGTGAAAATTTTAAAATGGCCATAACCACCACAGGAGGGCAGCAGCAAGCTGCAGATCAGTTCTGAAGCTGCAGGTAAGCGAGGCCTACAGATATATTCTCATTTCAGGGTTAAAGGAACGTTTTTGTTCTGTTTTCTACACGTGGCCTCGTGTCCATTGTTGGTGCAGTCATAGTGGGGAAGAATAAAGCTCTTTAGTGTTATGGAGGGTCAGTATTCTGTGTCTGACTGTGAGATTTCTTATTCTTCATAAACTTCTAACGCAGCCCATTTCATGATAGCATATTATTACATATTGAGAAATATCTTTCAATAAACATGTACACTGACTATGTTATGTTTACCTCTGCCAGACACTCCATCTCACACAAATCAGAATGTATGTTACACATATGAGGAATTTGTCTTGGGTGCACAAATGTATGACATCTAACATCCTGAACAGACAATAAAAAATATTTCTGAGAAAATAAGATATCTAACTGAGAGACAAATAAAATACAAAATGAACGATTAGAATAAAGAATTAGGGAGTACATTGGACCTTAGTGCAGCATTCAATCCTGACTCCTTACTTTCAAAACTGTGTAGATATTTCAGTGACTGTTTTAGAATGGTTTAACTCATATTTGACAAACAGACAGTGTTTTACTACAGAGCCCTGCTGGTGATATCCTATATGAATAAAAGTAATGCGTGGCCACGCCTTATTAACGTGTGGAAACAAGATCCTAATGTGTGGCGATAACTTCGTAAGGCATGGGAATGAGATAATTAAGTCGTTAGGATCTCGTTCCCACACCTTACTAAGTTGTGGCCACACATTAGGATCTCATTCCCATGCCTTAGTCGTGGTCACTAATTATTTCATTTATACAAGATGTCACCAGCAGGGCTCTGTACTTTACTGCATTCGGGATATCATTTGTCTAAAAATGTATTTTTTCCTATGGAGTTCCACAAGGTTCCGCTCTAGGGCCGCTGATTTTTCTTACTTTACATGCTATCTCTAAGAACATGATTCGGAAACATGAGGTAATTTTCCATGGCAGTTAATGATGTGTAATTATACATTTCCCTTTCCCCCCTCAAAATCCCAGAGACACATACTTTGTGAGGCATTAGGTCCTCTTGCATTGTTTATAAAATCTTAAATAGGAGAACTGGGTGTCATTTTAAATTGTCATCTAAAATGTGAATTTGGCATTGTATCATCTAAAATGTTACTAAGCTTGCATTCTATCACCTACACTCTCATTAAAGATGGTTCTTCAAGGGTTCTTTAGTAAAGGGAATGGTTCTATTTAGGACCATGAGTACTATGTAGAACTATTTCATGCCTAATTGGTTCTTTGCATGGTGAAAAGGTTCTTCAGATTGATGGAGAATGTGTTGTATATGGTTCTTTATAGCATCAAAAGGGTTCTGCTATTGTTATGATGTCAAGGTTATAACATTATCAGAACCCGTTTTGGTGCTATATTGTACTATTTTCAAAAATATTCCAAATACAGAACCATATATGAGAAATGAGGTAAAGGATGGTCAGTATGACATATTTACCTTTTACCTTTACATCAATGAACTCAAGTTACAGTAGACCTAAAGTGAACAGCCACTGTGCGGTGATTAGAAGTGGTCACTAAGTAGTGACCACAAAGATACTTACTGTAGGATATTTTTACATTTAGTTCTACATCCAGTTTCTCATTTCCTCCGTATTCCTCAATTTAGGAATGTTGTTCAATTGTTCCTCTTCAGCTCCATTTTCTGCTCTTTCAGCTGTACTTTATCTTGAAAAAACAATCCACTTTTCTTCAATGTAAATGAGCAGGAATGATAATGTGTGGCATTGCAGGAACTTTTATTCAAGTTTCATACGTATTAATTTAATAATAGTTTAATTAAAATGACCACTTGAAACATGGTGGTCAGCCTACCTACACATCTAAAAGACATATATAGCTTAAGCAAAACAGCTAAACTCACACAGCTGCAGTAGTGCAGGTCAAACCCACACTTGACTGGACCTGGACACAGTTCTGTTTTCAAAAGGTCATTATCATAGAGGTCTACATACTGCTATCAATGACCTTATCAATATTTAAATCATTAGTTCAGTAAAGATACAGTTATGTACAATGATGAATGTTGTAGTTTAATAAAACCATCTTTATTATTTTTTATGAAGATTAGATCAAATTTTAGTAGCAAAAAATGACTGTGTGGCTGAGAAAACAATAAATATTCATATCAGCAGTTTTGATGTATGTGGGTCAATAGATATTTTAGTAGCTGGGTCTGTAGATGGGTCTGTGGGTGCTTCAGTACGTATGAAGATAGATCTTAAGTATTTGTGAGTCTAGATGGGTCTGCAGATGTATGAGTAAGTCTGTATATGGTCTGTAGATTTTTAAGTAAGTCTGTAGATGAGTGTAGGTGTTTCAGTAAGTCTGTAGATGGTCTGTGGATGTTTCTGTAAGTCTATAGATGAGTGTAGGTGTTTCAGTACGTCTGTAGATGAGTGTAGGTGTTTCAGTAGGTCTGTAGATGGTCTGTAGGTGTTTCAGTAGGTCTGTAGATGGTCTGTAGATTTTTAAGTAAGTCTGTAAATGAGTGTAGGTGTTTCAGTAAGTCTATAGGTGAATGTACATGTTTCAGTAGGTCTGTAGATGAGTCTAGGTGTTTCAGTAAGTCTGTAGATGGTCTGTAGGTGTTTCAGTAGGTCTGTAGATGGTCTGTATGTGTTTCAGTAAGTCTGTAGATGGTCTGTAGGTGTTTCAGTAAGTCTGTAGATGAGTGTAGGTGTTTCAGTACGTCTGTAGATGAGTGTAGGTGTTTCAGTAGGTCTGTAGATGGTCTGTAGGTGTTTCAGTAGGTCTGTAGATGGTCTGTAGATTTTTGAGTAAGTCTGTAAATGAGTGTAGGTGTTTCAGTAAGTCTATAGGTGAATGTACATGTTTCAGTAGGTCTGTAGATGAGTCTAGGTGTTTCAGTAAGTCTGTAGATGGTCTGTAGGTGTTTCCGTAGGTCTGTAGATGGTCTGTATGTGTTTCAGTAAGTCTGTAGATGGTCTGTAGGTGTTTCAGTAAGTCTGTAGATGAGTGTAGGTGTTTCAGTACGTCTGTAGATGAGTGTAGGTGTTTCAGTAGGTCTGTAGATGGTCTGTAGGTGTTTCAGTAGGTCTGTAGATGGTCTGTAGATTTTTAAGTAAGTCTGTAAATGAGTGTAGGTGTTTCAGTAAGTCTATAGGTGAATGTACATGTTTCAGTAGGTCTGTAGATGAGTCTAGGTGTTTCAGTAAGTCTGTAGATGGTCTGTAGGTGTTTCAGTAGGTCTGTAGATGGTCTGTATGTGTTTCAGTAAGTCTGTAGATGGTCTGTAGGTGTTTCAGTAAGTCTGTAGATGAGTGTAGGCGTTTCAGTAGGTCTGTAGATGAGTCTAGGTGTTTCAGTAAGTCTGTAGATGGTCTGTAGATGTTTCTGTAAGTCTATAGATGAGTGTAGGTGTTTCAGATCTGTAGATTGGCTGTGTCTCAGTAGGTAGTAGTAGTCTGTAGATGGGTCTGTAGGTGTTTCAGCAGATCCGTAGATGGTCTGTAGATTTTTAAGTAAGTAGGTGTTTCAGTAAGTTTTTATAGGTGAGCGTAGGTGTTTCAGTAGGTCTGTAGATGAGTATAGGCATTTCAGTAGGTCTGTAGATGAGTGTAGGTGTTTCAGTAGGTCTGTAGATGGTCTGTATGTGTTTCAGTAAGTCTGTAGATGAGTGTAGGTGTTTCAGTATGTCTGTAGATGAGTCTAGGTGTTTCAGTAAGTCTGTAATTGAGACTATGTGTTTCAGTAGGTCTGTAGATGAGACTATGTGTTTCAGTAAGTCTGTACGTGGGTCTGTAGGTGTTTCAGTAAGTCTGTAGATGAGACTATGTGTTTCAGTAAGTCTGTAGGTGGGTCTGTAGGTGTTTCAGTAAGTCTGTAGATGAGACTATGTGTTTCAGTAAGTCTGTAGATGAGACTATGTGTTTCAGTAAGTCTGTAGGTGGGTCTGTAGGTGTTTCAGTAAGTTTGTAATTGAGACTATGTGTTTCAGTAGGTCTGTAGATGGTCTGTATGTGTTTCAGTAGGTCTGTAGATGAGTGTAGGTGTTTCAGTATGTCTGTAGATGAGTCTAGGTGTTTCAGTAAGTCTGTAATTGAGACTATGTGTTTCAGTAGGTCTGTAGATGAGACTATGTGTTTCAGTAAGTCTGTACGTGGGTCTGTAGGTGTTTCAGTAAGTCTGTAGAT